TGCGTTCTTAACATGCAACGACGGCTTAAAGACTCTTCTGAAGGTTTCTGTTTTTTTAAATATGCACTGTGGACAAGGGATTGTATGAAGATTGCTTAAAAAAATAGACGCCGGGTAAGTTTACATGGTTTAAAGGATGTACCATACAGATCAGAAAATGGATTGAGTATGAGCGGTACCATCAAACCAAATTGTCAAAATAGTTAGGAAAATAGATTTAATACCTCGGATGAAACGGAAGTAACTTTTAGGAGTGGTTGCGTCATGAGATGCACAAGTTTTGTAAATCACTGAACAGCCTAGGCTTGTCAGCTAATAGCTCGCATAAAAAACCGCGTTGTTGTATCCCTATCATACGCATGGACGCGTCACTGTGAGGTGGCGCGGGCGATCCAAGGGCCGCTTGCTTGATCCATACAACAGAATTGTGCATTTCATTTGTAGGAAATCCCCAACAATTTTACATGTGATTGCGTTCATAACCCGTTGTAGCCTGACATGTATGCGATGTTATCTGGCATTAGTTCTTTGGAACACAACACTTAGTAGCCTACCGGTTCCAACGCCACCACGATAACATCTACTAGACTATAGGAATGAATAAGCTGTAAGTCCTGTCTCCGGTAAGATCAGAGACACCGATTTATTTGCGGAAAGGAAAAAGACACGACCTTCGGATACCACAAACAAAACACAGAAGTAGAAATGCAAAGATTTATATGGTCTGTTTTATCCTTATATCATACATTAATCTTTATATTATACATGTAGTTTGGGTAAAGTTAATCTTTGTGGGAACTGTAGTTTTCTTTGAAATGAAGTGCCAAAAATTCGTGGGTTGATTTGCGATAAAGTATACAGGCCTAGGCCTATCAAACGATCTTCGTTAATCTGTTATAATTCAATTCATATCCCTTTTATTCAATAAAAAATTAAGGTAGGATATACATTACCATTATAGTGCTCCACAATTCACAGATACGGAACTTAATCATAATTATAGCAAGCAGAAATAACCACTAAAACTCTAAACTAAAAACCAATATATACCAGATATTTTTTATTATTCACATTGAAACCAGATGAAATTGTTTAATGTAACATAGACGTAGGGCCTACACTTCATTGGGAGCGGGTTGACGCAATGGTCGAAGTTCAGGCACATAGGTCGGGGGCTCAATTTTTTATGGGCATGGTATCGTATGAAATAATAGTGGGTTCAAGTACAATCAACGCCCCAGACGAAGAAGAGAAATTAACTTATCGCCGGTAATTCAGACCTAGGGACCAGGGATATTGTTTTAGATTTAAGATTTTTTAATTATTCGTTCATTCAATGCATAGGCCTATAAAATAATTGGCACTATACTTTTGGCTTAGAAATAGTAGGAATCGTAGTGATAGATAATGGATAATAAAATACAATATGAATATGTCTAAATCATATGCTGAAGAATATCATCCACAATCATCAAATCTGTTTTCTTTTTCTTTCTTTTTTATCAGAAAAGGACACAATCGTTGAATTGTATAAAATTGCTTGCAGCAATTCTACACTCTCAAGGAGGTTTGAAACCTTAGGCCACCATATACATTAATGCTACATCCGATCGCTAAATTTAATTCTAATTAATGTAATTTCAGAAGTAATACAAATAAGATGAAACATTATGACATTGTATTTACAACAAGAAGAACTAAGTCAACATAGAAGAGCTTATAATAGCTTCTTTTTTTTTTGCTACAAAAAATAGGACGCTATTAGTAGCCAAAACAATACTGCTCTGCAATAAATAAGAAAGCGCCCTCGAATTACAAGAAAAGTTTTCTGGTCGTGCGAGGGCGGTATCATTGTACGAGACACGAGCAGCCATTTCGGTAGGTACTCCGAAGTACAAATCAGTAAGTTTCGATTATTAAAACCGTTTTTCAATGTTGGCTTTTAAATGGTACATCACCATCAGTCATTAAAAACAGGCATGTATGTAGAAGGCTTATAATTTTTAATGGTAATAGATACTATCTATATATTAATTCTGCTAATCACCACCGCGTATCTCCTCTGAAACCGCTGGCAGGAATGTTAATGATATCTCATACAGTGTACACTCAGGCTTCTATATGTCACGACCACATTCCCGCTACTTTTTAAGGCTGGATATTGGGTAACAACGAAAAACGACAGCCAAAAACCACCGAAAATCAGTACCTGTTTCACCATGTTTCGCAAGTTGCTTACGTCAAGTAAATTCATGGACAATTAATCCCATCTAGGCCTATTCTGTACTGCTATGCTTAGGTCTAAAAATTAACATTACCGTCTAGCCCTGCACAGCCCTACTACTAACTACTATTAGGCTCTAGCCTAGGTGCGGCCTACCCTAGCCCACGATGTCGATGAGAGATAGGCGTAGACCTAGGGGCCTAGCTCAGGTGTATTTTGCAAACCTAAGGCCTATCCTCTATCTCTAGAATCCGGGTCGGTTTGGATAGTGCATTAAGATAGATAGGGTCAAACCAGCTCCACCAATCAATACCTTGAATTTATGTAAACATGGGACAATCAATGTGTACGGGTTCTTTTGAATGTTAGGATAAGCCTTACATGCATCCACCTTGATTCAAGACAAACATGTCTCTCATGCCCAACTAGGCCAGACCTACAGTACTGTATATTTGAGGCACGTTGTGGCAAAATGGCTAAGTTGTAGCAAAAATTGAAATTCAAGCTATGGGTATTTTCAGATACCTGAGTATGTGATCTTTAAAATGAGGGTCATTTATTCATATTGGACATTTCAAGCCTAAGTTATTGGAAAGTGAAAGTATAGTACTCTTAGAGTCAAGATAAACATGATTTTGCGTAATTGCCTTTCAGAGTTATTTGTGCATACATTGTTTAAGAGAATGAACTATAAAAATAATGTTAAATAAACAATTTGTTAACCACTTCCAGAACTAATACTTTGGAATATGATTAATAAGACATTAAACTGTTGATCTATAGTAAAAAACAAATTTGGATTTTTAGGCAGTTTTTTGAGCTCCCATATTTTATAGCTCATTTACTCAATACTGGAATGTGCGACAACTTAACCATTTCGCCACAACATGCCTCATTTCTGTACTTTCACTTACAAGAGGGTAGCCCAAACAAAGCAACAGAGGAAGATCCAGTAGGTGAGAGGGACGTCACTGGGAAGGGCTCCTGCCCCGTTTTGCCACAAATTTTTTTTTAAATTTCAATGCAATATATGTGCTATTTGCTTATTCAATTATTCGGAAACTGCTGTGCACCCCCCACCACCCCCTTTGAAACATTCTGGATCCAATCTTGATCACAATGCACAATAATTTCTCACAAGGACAACAGTGTGGTGCAAAGACATTCAAAACATTAACTATAAAGACGTCCTTTAGAAAAAAAATTTTATTTCTATTTTATTTATTCGGTATAAATATCAATTATAAAAATATTATAAAACATACAATTACAAAAACAAGCACCTACCAAAATTCAAAACAAATTATCAACAAAAGATCAATTCCAGAGGTCCCAGGACAGGCAAAAGTGAAAACACTGTCATCAAAAGATGTGCATGTCCAAACTAGAATTTACAAATGTTCATTTATTAAGTAGGAACATACCATTAACAATAAAATAAACAAAAATTATAACTATACAAATATAAAAATAATTATTAAAAAATTCACTTTGCATTATATTACATAATTTATACTATAATACTACATTAATCATTGTATATCATTTAATTCCATTTAAATAATTTAGATTGTTATTAAATTAATTATTATAAAAATAATTTCTGAAAACATTGCACATCATCATTTAAATTCAAAATTCATTTTCATTTAACATTACATTTCATTTAATTTCAAATTTAATTTAATATTACATTGAATTATAAAAATATTAATTAATTTTACTTCGCATGTTTTTATACAATTTCTATTCTATTGAATTTTGCAAAAAATGAGATCGCAAATTAAATTTAAACATTTTGACATATAGTAACCATAATGACATATGGTAACCATAACATCCAGAATGATTGCCTCCTCAACTTTCCCATTCAACAATGTACGTGATCGCCACCTTTCCCGACTCATTCAATACCATGCGGAGCACAAGTATATGCTAGTTTATATAGTAATATAGATGGTAGGCTAAACGTTTGATTGAATATGAATATTGCTGGCAATAAATGTAACAAAACAGATTGTCTGTATATGTGAGAATTAGAATTTAATTCTTTTTAATAAAAATAAAAATATATAAATTAAAAATAATCTCTTAATCAGGTACTGAAATTTTTTTGATAAAAAAAATACAAATATGTAATTCAGTATTTTCTGTGAAACTGCAGGTAGGCCAAAAGGAAACTGATGATGGAGAATGATAGCAGTGATGATACCATCATACCAGAATCCATCCCATCATCCTGCCCTGCTTCACCCTTGCTTATTACTGGACTTCATGATATGTAGGTGATTACTAATATTACCAAAGTTTCATTATAATATAAAATTACTCTAAAATAAATATGATGTTCATACATGTGAAAGTTTTGGTATCATTGTAGTTAGTGGAAATACTGGGGAATTCCACCTTTTTTGTTAATTACTTCTAAATGCGATATTAAATATTTATCCCAATAATAATATTTTATATTTACTAAGTTTTTAATGTGGTTGTGTTTTAATTCAAGTTTACCATTTGTAAACTTTCTTGTAGATGATTTAGATGTACAGATTTCAAATCTTATTTAAAAAATGTATTGTATTTCCCTATTCTAAAAACGCAGCGCCCTGAAGCTCTTGTATGCTCAGGCTAGGAAAATTAACACTTCAATGAAAACAAATTTATCAACAAAAGCATTGAAATTTAGGCACTGTTGAGGAAAAGACTGAATGTAAATAATCTAGAAATAGGTACATTTCAAAAGGCTTTTCAAAGTTATTCCAATTGTCAATACCCCATGGGGCAAGGCAGAGTAATGGCGATAAACTTAGGTGATACAGTACTGTAATTATGTAGTTATCTAACCAATAGTGAATAAGATTAATACAAATTTTCATTGATTGTAATTAAGATAACTGAAGCTAAAAAGATTTCATAAGTTCTAAACAAAAGTTTGACAAAACCCCAAGGGCATTACCTTTCAACACATTTGTACCTTTTAAATTTCCTTCATTCTTTTCTGAATCTTTTTTTGTGCAACATGATTCCCTTATCCACTTATCTTTCCTCTTATTTTTTATTTTATTTATTTTTTCACTATGAATTGCTTAATTATCTTTTCCATCTGTAGATCAGATCAAGTGTACCGTTCACCTGTGTTTCCGCCTCCATGCAGTAAGGTGCCCAAGCTTCCAGGTAATTTCTATGGGAGGGGTGTGTTTGTGAAATGTGTGTGGGGGTGGGGTGGCATTTAGGTGTGTGTATGGGGGTGTGCATTGTTTGCAACATCTAAATTGTTTTATATTTATAACCCCACCCCATGAAAATATTACAAACAATAACAATTACAACAAAATGTTTTATCTAGTAGCCCAAAAGGATATCTAGCTAACTTGAGGTAAAAAGCTATACAACTTAAAATATAAGTTATTTATATTAAATATGCATTATATACAATATCAGGTCGAGACCCGAATGTGCAAGAAAGAAGGGATGTTCTACAAGATGGAGTAAAATTGATCACAGATGAGGATGAAAGCAAAAATGATAGCAATATTAATGAGAAGAGAAATGAAAATGATAATGACAGTGACAGCACAGAAATTGATGAGGACAGAAATTACATGAGTGATGTCATTAAAGATTCAGATGAAAGCCCAAAGAGGGCGACATTTCTGTTAGGCCATTCACAGATTAATAATGAAGACACAGATGCAAAGGTATTAGAAATAGGCATTACAGAATCATGTGTACCTGAAATGGCAGCAACAGAGGCAGAGGAACCAGAAATGGTGGCACCAGAGGCAGCAGTGCCAGAAGATGTAGTGCAGACTGATCAGCAAATGTCAGCAGTACCAGAAGATGTAGTGCAGACTGATCAGCAAATGTCAGAAGCAACGTCAAAGAACAACTCCTGGGTTGGTATATATGTTTTTGTCAACTATTGAAATCAACTTTGAATTACTTAAAATGTTTTATTATAAATTCGTTTTGTGCATTATGCCATCATTTCATTAAAATGTGGGGGCTTTACAATAAATACATTCTGCACTCTTAAATTAATTCACTCGACAGTATTTTCTCAGGAATTTGAAAGTAAAAATCATGATTATTTTTTTAAACAATAAAATTAAAAGAATACTTCTAATTTGTTATTTTGATCGCAATATTGTTTTAAATATAGGTGGATGATGAGGAACAAGAAGCTTTGCAGGACCTAGAGAGACGACTAAAAAAGTTGAGAAATGGAGAACCGAGTAAGAACATTATATTTATATTTATCAATATAATTACAGTACTAAGAAATTAGATTAAATAGGCAATGCTAAAAAAAATATATTATAATAGCTACCTACACTATTAATTTGAACATTAAAAGTAAAGAGAGTACATTAAATTCTCAGAATGTCTAACATGCTTCTTTATTTTTTGTTTTGCTTATAAAATATTAGGTATTCATTGTAAACTGATGTCGATTAAAATGCAGTTAAGGCTCTTAAATGAATCTTTCAAGGAACAAAGAACAGCAAGTCTCAAAAAGTTGGCCAAACTTCAACGAGAATCTAGTAAAAATAAGCAACATGAAAAACTGGTGAACATATCTTCAAAGCAGAAGGTCCTGCTGAAACTTGTGAAGATCTACAGAAACATATCAAATGAATATGATATTGACATTAACATAAGCAATTCTTCAACCCCTGATGGAAAGAAGTCGGGTGATGGCAGGCAGCTTTCCAGGCATCAGTCAAAAGCCCACCAAGTAGAATCATATGAAGTAGGACATTCCAATCAGATTTCTGCTACAGGTCAGCAGAAAAGATCAATCCAACGTTTACCAAGAAGAGATCACCAAAGAAGGGTAGCAAAAGATGTTGATTTAAACTTAGTTGTTGAAAAGTTAATAAGCGCAGGATTAGCCATGTCAACTACTGCGACTACATCATCGACATGCTCTGGTGATTCAGTCGCCCCTATAGGAGAAATGATCCAAGGAATCTCTAAGATAAGAGAACATTCTTTGTCAGATACTGTGCTCGGGGACAACAATATCACTTCTAAGCAAGTACTGCCAACTTCTGGTAGCACTGCAAGCCCTTGTCAAGAAGACGCTAATATAACAGTGGCATTGACCAAAGAAAGAGAAGATAGAACATCAACAATGAAACTAGTGATCCAGGCAGGTGCTGATGTCTGTAGCTCAGTCCGCAACCAAGTTACTAACAGCACATCTGCTCAAAGCCAAAAGATTATTTCAACTAATCACCCATATCAGACGACATCACAAAGTACTCTATGTTCATCGATGTTAGAGAAAAAGAAAATATCTGTTAAAAACACAAATGCACCTAAGGTTATTAACATCTTAAAACCATCAAAAGAAGTTGAAAATAATATGTACTTATCCTCCTCAATGATTGCTAATAATTCAAGAACTGTGATGACCAATCAAACCTTAAGAAATGCCTCTCTAAACTATGCCATGAGTAAGTCTAAAGGTCGAGGGGTAACAATCCAATACCAAGCATCGCTACATCCGTCCACAAGTAGAAGCAATATTGTAACATCACCCTCATCTATATCAACATCATCTGTATCATCTTCCAGTGCTACTGTCAAAACATCATCACTGTCACCGATCATTACCACAACATCTACAACAACAGCAGCAGCATCTCAATCCTCTTTGAATACAGCAAATTCATTATCTTCTGATGCATCACTAGCAAAACAGCCAGCTGACGATCAACCTCTCAAAGATCTTCTGAAAAACTGTCGAGTATCTCTGATAGACGATAGTGAACTTTTCCCCTCAAGACCCTACCTCCCAGAATTATTTTGGACTGAGAGTTTTGCAAGCATTGATCTGCCCTCTGCCCTTATCAACGATATTGATAACTGGACCAATGCCGAAACGAATGATAATCATCAGACTTAGAAAAATGAATCTTATCAATCAATGTACCAACTGACCGAATAGGGCCATGAATACGCGCGTGTCACAAACACGCGTTGTCCCACAAACGCACGTGTGTTGCGTATGTTTTTATACTGTCGTCTTGTGGGACCTTAGCAACAATATCCAAGGGGCGGGGCTTAGCGGAAAGGCCCATTGTTTAGGTGACGTAGGGTATCAATAGAAATGATTTGTCTTTAGCCACAACTCGCACCAAATAATTTCGTGAATGAATCATAAATATAAACTGCATAGGCCTAGATATTACGAGAATGTTATTGTCGTTTTAATTATGATTCTGATTATTAAATTGTTTCATGTGTCTTTTCATATTTGCATTTATTCAATATGGCATATACGATTTTTTTTGTACCATATGCAGGAATGTTTAATAATGATTTCATTGCTGTATTTTTCCATCTATTTGTTTTACCATTCATCAATAAATAACGCGTTTGTCAATTTAATAGAACTCTGGCTGTTTAATATGTCTGTTGATTTGTATGTGTATGATACATTTTAATTAATGTGCTATGGTATTTCAAAAATCTTCCTGAGTTGCATCATGTTCAGTTCCCAAGGCCAAGCGATACTACTGTACTATAGAGATCACTGTTTCAAATTGATAATTTTCTTCCTTGGTTGTGCAGTGAATAATGTGTGTGATCATACAAACTACAAAGACGCCACGTAGATGACTAGAACTGAAGAATTAAATACATGGGTTGAGTTCAGAGTTGGTGATCGAAAACGTTATAAGTATTGGGAAGTTTTTTTTTCTCACAATGACGTCAATAAAACAGATATAAATACCATAACAGCAAGCTGTTACTACAGCACGAACGAGATCATAAAATGCAACATGAGCATTTGTTAGGCTAATATGTAAATCTAATCTTTTTACCATGCCATCAATTTTATAATTGTATTTTAAAATTTAATTTGAACCAAGAAAGGGAAAACGTATACCTGCAACTTTTATTTATTTTTATCTAAAATTTTATAAATCAACTGTGTATATGGTCGGCTCATCGACGTGCCGTGGAATGCAGTAGGTATTTGAACCTGCTGTGTTTACGACAGCAACCATCATCTTCAGCCTCGTTTTCAACTCAAAATAATGTGTAACCTTGTAAAACCACAAGGTTCAACTAAGACACCCACTTATTTTGATTTATGTTGTCATATAATAATAATTGGCTTATAACGAATTCAGTCCACACATCGTGCACAACTCAACACGTGGCCAACATTCTGAAGCGTGTATATTACACTTTATAGTTGGTTATCCGTGGTGTTTGCAGTTCAACGTTTGGGATTTCGATGAAAGGATCAATAGCCGGTAAATGCCACAAGCTTTGGAGTCACATATAAACATATTGTATAATAGTAGGAGGATCTGTAACAAGCAAGTTATAATATATTGCTGTAGGCCTAGCATATGGTAAAAGGCTATGTCTGACAAGATACAGTTTTTCGCTCTTTTATTTCTTGCCGAGGTTTCTGGTTTAACCGCAGTGGTACTTATCGGCCTTTTCGGTGGTCAGTTTAACAGAGAGCCAGGTTACAGGTGGGATGGAAGCCTCAATACTTTCAACTATCATCCGCTACTAATGATCGTCGGGTTTATATTTCTACAAGGCAATGGTGAGAATATTCCCTTTGGTGCGTTATTTTCAGACATCTAATGCTCTGTCCAGACTCTCAAATTTTATTCGAAAAAACATGTGACATGCCTAAATATGGTCATGATGACATCACATCATGATATTTTTTGGCGCATTATGACTATATGGGCAACAGTTTTTTGTCAAATGAAATTTTGATAATCTAGACAGGCCTAGTTTTAAAGTATCCGCCTAGAAGGGCCTATCACTGTCTAGACAGGATAGGAGTGCTAGAGTAGGCGTTGTACGTGAATAATTTACTTCAGTATAAAAATCTGTACGTATTAATAATTCTAATTTTTAAAAAATAATTAACATGCAGGTTAGTAAAAAATGTGCACCATTTCCAAAAAAAAAATTATGGGCCAATCCCAAACAGGAGTGCTACAGTAGAACAGAGCGCATAGAGGTCTCTACAATATGCGCTATATAAGTCGACAATTATTATTATTATTATTATTATTATTATTATTATTATTATTATTATTATTATACAGTAGGCGTTGCATGTGAAATGTGTAAATTTCTTCAGTATAAATATCTGTAAATATTAGGGCCTAATTCTAATTTCAAAAAGTGTACCATTTCCTCCAAAAATGTTATTGAAATTCCGTCCCCGGCAAGCCTTACAGTAGGCGTTGCAATTGTGCAGTGTGTAGTTTTCTTCAGTATAAAAATCTGTAAATATCAATAAGCCTAATTCTTTTTTTTTTCAATGAATATCATCATGCAGGTTAATTGCATGAACATGTGCATGTCCACCAATAATAATAATAATATCTGCTTCAAAATTTGCCTTTTTCAACTATCGCCTGTATTCTGCCCTTTTCGGATTTGCCTTTGTTTATATCTGTCCCTATCGATTTAAGCCTGGTGGTTTTTTTATGTATCTGTTTCGTACGCCGATACGTGATTTTCATTAAATGTAAGTGTAGGTCTACAGCGTTCCCAGTGTTAAATAAAACCTAAAGGTGTCAATTATGTATTATGCATTCTACCTGTACCTGTCAGAAGTATTGATTAACTATCATAACAGCACCGTATATACC